TCAGTTTCAGACTGTTTTCTGGTGACTAGTCTGCCATTAGGGATTTTGGAGAGTGCAATATGCCTGCCCTTTGCATTATACCAGGTAGTACTTGGTGTCTGCCAAGTTCTTTTTATTCTACTCTTTCTAGTCTGCATCCTTAGAAATGAGTCTGAACTTCTATAACATATCAGAGGTTATGGGCTCACTGGGGAGAGGCTATGGTCTTTCCATTGCACCTGGAGAAAGGAGTTTCAAATAGTGTGTCCTATGTTAAAAGTGCATCACATTTAGTAGGCTTTGGGGGAAGATAATTTGAGTTACCACAAATACTCAGTTTCTAGCTACAGATTTGTCCATTAATTCAGCATTCTTCCGTGGCTCTTCCTTGAAACGGGTATAATTGTAGGGGTTTAATGGTATGTTCATTTTTTCTTTCTGGCCTCTACCGTACTGCCTGACTTACTATAAATCTTGGAATTGAGTAGTGTGAGACTTCTTCTAATTTTTTATTTTAATCAGTTGGTTTTGGCAATTCTAGATCCTCTCCTTCACATGTATACAGTATAAACCTGTATATACAATGGACTTGCTGGGGTTTTGATAGAAAGTACATTGAGTCAATAGGTCAAGTGAGGGAGATTTCATATCAGAACAAAACGTCTCTTCAAATCTGTAAGTTTAGCATTTTGCATTTTGATTTTTCATCCTGCATTTATTTTGTTATATGTATATAATATATATTATATATTGGATTTGGATATAATTATATCTTTTGTCATTCCTATTCCAATATTTTATTCCTTATATGTGGGAATATAATTTACTGTGATACATTTCTGATTGTGTATTCTTGTTGGAACTGTACTAAATTACAGTGATTTTTAAATGGGCAGAGACATGGCTCTGCAGTTAAGACTGCTTGTTGCTTTTGCAGAGAACCCGAGTTTGGTTCCTAGTACGACCACTAGGTGGCTCACAACTGCCTGTAACTCCATTACAAAGGACCCATTGTCCTCTTCTGACCTTCAGAGCAGGTCAAGCATTCTCTTCCACACACATGATTAAAAAATAAAAAAGGCTTTTAAGATATTCTAGTGATTTGTTTGTCCTTTCAAATCCTCCTTCATAGAAAATTGTCACACAAGTAGTTTTACTTTTTTCTAATCCTTCCCTTTTCTCATACTGGACTGTCTAGGAACTGTCAAGTAGGAGTGACAGAGAACATACTTGCTTTTGTGCTCTTTGAGAAAGATTAGGCTCCCAATTCTGTAGCATCAGCTGTAGGTTTGTATAAATGCCCTCAGACTGAGAGTTACTGTGAAAATTGAAGTTTTCCCCCTATGTTTACTGAAATGATCTTTTTTAAAACTTAGTACATTACTTTGATTATTGAAACAACTTTTCATTCTTTGGATGAATTGCATATCTATCTAATATACAATATATATTACTTGAGTTCAGCTTCCTATTGTGTTGAATTTTGCATCTGTGCTCACTGGGCATACTGGTAGTTGAGAATGGCCTTGAAATCCCAAGCCTGCCTCTACCTCCAGAGTTTGGTGATTACAGTTTATGCAGTACCAGGAATCAAATTCAGGGCTTCATACATTCTAGGAAAATTTCTTCTTGGGTGAATTTGGTGATTTTTTTTTAAATGAGTTTGACCATAATGGGGGTATCCTAATGGGATTTCTACATATTATACATGGCTACCATCCTACCCCTAACCCCAGTTTTATACAAAAATAGACACTTCTGAAAGATGTTTTCTGTTGAGTTCCAGGTACACTTTATAGAAAGAGAACCTGGAAAATAATGTGGACTTGCCAAATTATATTCAGATAAGTTTTTTCAACCCATTGTCCACCGTGTCTTCACCAGTTTGTCATCTGTTCTAGCTGACATACATGGAGGGAGTGTGAATCATGAATTGTTAAACTAGTTAATCTTTATGAATAAAAAACTGGGAGTCAGATATCGGGGTAAGAACCTGAAAGATCAGAGAAATGGAGCAGCCACCATTCGCCTCCTACCTCTATCACTCATCCCTTGAAAAGGGCCAAGATTTTCTCTGCCCCACCTTACTGCTTCCTGTCTCCTCTCTGTCTACAGTCCTCCAAGCCTCTATGGTCAATTTAGCTCAGCTAGTGTGTAGCCACACCCCCTGACTCCAAGCAAGCTTTAATTGTCAGAACACCAAATATCACACAACAGAGTCAGTTCTCTTTGACGAGTCCAAACTTTGTACCAGCTAGTTTCATTTGTGTTTCCAGATTTCCTATATGTTTGCATAAAGTCTTAAATATGAATTTAGTTCTGTTCTTTACTTTAAAGATGAAATTAGCATTTCCAGCTTTCTACATTCTTAGACAGAGTCTCTATTTTATTTTTAAAAGCACCAGTTTTAATCCCACAATAGGTTACTCAGTTAAGAAAGATGGGGAGAGATATTCTGCTCTCTGCATGTAAGTAATTTAAGCTGATAATTCAGGTGATGCACACTGTGCTAGCACGTGCATATAACAGTTGGTATGTCCCACTTTAGGGCATGCATCCTAAAGAAAAGGAAGAAGAGCATCATAAGGGACTTCTAGGAGTACTGGTTCTATTTGTGGTGGTGAGAGTTCAAAGAAATTTAGTCATTAATCATGGGCAGATTTACAAGGTACCACATAGCAATTGAATACAGAAAATTTTGACTAGTTCTTTAATATCAATCTGAATAAAGTCAGTTATTATCATTCTGATTTCACTTTTATTATTTATTTGGAATTTCAGAGATAGTATGTATAGCTTAAAATTTCTGATTTTACAACTTCCACAGCTGGATGAACGAACGATAAGACCCCATGTCCCTTCAAATTCTTTCCATCACTACTAAACACCCAGTTGCTGAGCCAAAGGTAGGCACCCTCTTAATACCCCTCCCCCTTCTCTACCTCACTTGTATTCCTCTGCCACAAGTCTTGCCTCCTCGGATAAATCCTACTGCTTGGAATGCTGTATGATGATGTCAATCCGGGAGTTTCATGGCTCACACATTGAGAACCATTTGTCCAGCAGAGGGCAGTATAACAGCACACAATTGGAGCATGTAGGCACACCTCTATTGTCCTTCACATTTAGCACAGAATGCTTGAATGTCCCCTTGTAAAATGAGGGAAATTGACTAAACCAATTATTTTTCACTGGTGATATTTTTAAAGTCCTGTTTCCAAGAATGCTTGGTATTTAAGAATTACGTTGGGGATGCCAGGAGTTGGGGGCTCCAGCTCTCTCCCTACCACCATCTACCAAGATGAGTGTGTTATTGCTTGGTATGCTGGAATTTCTCATAGTATTTTCGGGGAGGGAAGAGTTTTATACCTCAAGAAATAGATACCCCTGTTCTCTCCAACATGCTGTCTTGGGCTGTGTTTCCTTCTTTGATGCTGCGGGTTGAAACTAGAGCCTTGTACATGTTAAGCAAATGCTTTAGTGCGGAACTAAATATCCAGCCCTATTAAGCCTGCTGTTTTTGTAAGTCGGGGTGTCACTGGGTTCATTCTGGTTTTGAACTCCCTCTGTAACTTAGGCATGCCTTGTAACTAAGATCCCCCTGAGCCTTTCAAGTAACTGGGATTATAGGAGGGTACTGTAGGACCCAGCCATGACTGAATAGAAAGCCTGAGTCTCAGTAGTTTACCCTGGTTCCAAGACCACAAACTGAGACTACCCAGGCTCCACCCAGGAACAAACCATCCCAAAGGAAATTCCTAACATTCCAACCATTGTAGACAGGATCACCTGCCAGCACACGCCCATTGATTTTTTTTTTTAACCAGGACACTGCTAGGCAAATGTCCAGCCAATCAGGGGTCCAGAACCTTAGAAATCCCTCAACCCCACCTTTGCTACTATAAAAACCCAATCCCAACTGAGTCCCTTGCTCTCTGGTCACTCCAATACATTGGACACACAGAGAGACCGAGTTTGCAAACTTGTGTAAGAATAAAAGCTCTTTGCTTTTACACACAGGACCTACTTGGTCTCCTAGTTGGTTTGGGGGACTCCGTGATCTGGGTATAACAGGTACCACCATCTTTTGCGTTTTCATTGACCTGACCACAATCATCATCTGTAACAGGGAGCCATGGGTAAATATCACGCTATCAGGATGGCCCATCTTGTTTCTCTTGGACACCAGAGTGACATACTTGGTACTGAGAAAATTCTGGGGGCCTACCTTTCCTTCTAGTTTCCCTATTGTCGAGGTAGGGGGACAGCCTTATCTACCTCAGCAGACGCCACCACTTAACTGTGTTTTTAGGGGATTTTATCTCATTCATTTCTAGTCATGCCAACCTGCCTGGTCCCTCTTACGGGAAGAGATTTTTTTTTTTTTTTTTTTTTTTAGCAAAAATAGGAGCTTCCATTTCATTTGCTCCTTCCATTCACCTTACTCCAGACTCGCCATCAGCTCGCCTCCTCCTCCTTCTAGCCTCTCAGCTCCAATGTGTCTTTTCCTCAATCAGCCTCTCAGGTAAACCCAAGTCTGGGATATCAAAAATGCCTCTGTTGCTAAACACCATTCCCCTGTCATTATCCTATTACAAGATCCTACTAAGTACATTACCTAAGCTCAGCACCCCCTCTCTCTCCAGAGCCTAATATCTCTGACCTTCTAAGATAAAAGCTACTTTGCCCCACGTCTCCCTTTAACACTCCTATAGTTGCTGTTAAAAAAAACCTAATGGAACCTATCGCCTGGTTCAAGACCTCCAGCTCATTAACTCCGCAGTGGTCCCTCTTCATCCTGTAGTGCCTAACCCTTACACACTTCTTTCCACTATTCCTCCCAGGAGCCTCCCTCTTCTCAGTTCAAGATCTCAAGGATGCTTTTTTCTCTATTCCTCTCAACTCTCATTTTCAAAATATCTTTGCCTTCACCTGGACTGACCCTAACTCACCTTTCCACACAGCTCACCTGGATCATCCTTTCCCAGGGATTCCGGGGCAGCCCACACCTGTACACTCACCTCTCCACACAGCTCTTCTGGACCGTCGTTCCCCAGGGATTCCAGGGCAGCCCACACCTGTTTGGTCAGGCTTCAGCTTCTGATCTCCTCTCACTATCTTTCATTAAGCCTAAATTAATACAGTATGTAGATAATATTTTACTTTGCAGCCCATCATTGGAGATCAGCAAAACTGATACCTCCACTCTTTTAAATTTCCTGTCCAAAAAGAGCTATAGAATCTCACTTGCTAAGGCACAACTGTTTTCACCTCTCAGGCCATTTACTTGAGATTAACTATTAGCCCAACCCAAAAAAACTATTACCCTAAACAGAAAAAAGCTAACTCAGTCCCTTGCAGTTCCTTCTACAAAAGAAGAGGCTTTATTTTTCCTAGGAATAGCTGGCTTCCTGCATTCCTGGGTCCCCTCTTTTTCTCTCCTTGCCCACCCCTTATATGAGGCAGCTCTCAGCTCTCTGCATGAGCTCCTTCTCCATCCCATTACTAAACCCTTCCAGAGACTCCAACAAGCCCCTATCCATACACCCAGCTCTTCATCTTCCAGATTTAACTTGTTCTTTATCTATGTAACAGAGAAGGAGGGATATGCCTTCCTTTGCACCTGTAGCCTACCTGTCAAAGAAGCTAGACCTCACCACTCAGGGCTGGGCACCCCGCATACATGCTTTAGTGGCCGCTGAGCTTCTGATTTGTGAGTCAAAGAAACTAACTTTTGGGTCACCCACCACTGTCTTCTCCCACCACAATCTGTCCCATCTCTTATCTTACAAAGGCTTACAAACCTTACTCTCTTCTTGAGTTCTTTCCCTCCAGGTGGCACTAGTAGAAGATGCCACACTCACTTTCCAATGCTGCCCATCCCTTAATATCTCAAATCTCCTAACATTAATTATTCCCCATCTCATTCCTGTATAGAGACCTTTGAGGATCTACTGCCTTACCCCTCACATATACAGGAAGGCAAACTGCCCCAGGCCACTTATATCTGGTATATAAGTGAAGGGACCCATAGAGCAGGCTATGCCATTGTGTCAGATACTGGGGTAGTGGAGGCACAGGCACTCCCTGCCCATACCACTAATCAGCAGGCCGAGCTAATAGTCCTTACCCGTGCCTTCCAGTTAGTAATGGCACAATCTTTAAATGTTTACAAAGACTCCAAATGTGCCTTTCATATCCTCCTGTCCCATGCAGCTATCTAGAGGGAGAGTGGGCTTCTTACAACAAAAGGAAGATCCATAACTAACTCAGGTTACATTATGGACCCATTAAAAGCCTCCCGTCTTCCCAAAGCTATAGGAGTTATTTACTGTCTATCTCATCAGCTCCAAGGGAAATAACTGGACTGACCAAGCAGCTAGAACAGCAGCATTCCAGAGCCCAAACTTACCTCAGTCACTTTAAGGGGTTCATACAGTAGAGCCCACATTCTCGCAGATACCCCCTGACACCCGGCAAATTCTGTCCTACCTCCATCAGCTCTTTCATCCTAATAGCAAAGCTTTGTTTTATTTTGTCAAGGCCCACCTCCAACCCACCCCTGAGTTCGTAAAAGCTGTCACTGCCTCTTGTAAAATCTATCAAAAGTCAGATCCCAAGACCAAATATCGTAGCTTCCCCTTTCCCACCCACCAGGCCAGGGGTTCCCCTCCAGGAATTGACTGACAGCTTGATTTTACTCATATGCCCACGGTCAGAGAGTTAAATCTCCTGGTTTTGTTTGACACCATATCTGGATGGATTGAAGTGTTTCCACCACTAACAAGAGGGCCCAGAGAGTTTCTGATGTTCTTCTCAGGGAAATTATCCTGCAGTTTGGAATCCCAACCTCTCTTTAATCAGATAATGGCCCAGAGTTTACTTCCCAAATTTCTTAAACTTTGTCTAAGGCTCTTAACATTCCCTGGCATTTTCATATCCCAATACCACCCTCAGTCTTCAGGGAAGGTAGAGTGAACTAACCATTCCTTTAAAAATGTTCTTGTTAAGATGTCATAGGAGCTTCATCTTGTCTGGGTAAAACTTTTGCCTCTGGCTCTTTTTAGGCTTAGGGCTCTCCCCAAAAGCCCCTTTTTCATCTCACCCTTTGAACTCATATATGGTTGGCCGGTTTTTATCCCCAGCCTCTCACCGAAAACCTCTCCCCTTCCTGATCACCTTCTTATTCTGCTGTTATCCCATCTTCGTGCCCTATTATGGGATTTTACCAACTAGTCATTACCTCAACCATGTGCTAATTCATGCCCACTGCCAATTAAAATAAGAGATCAGGTACTATTCTCTCCCCCAGACCGATGCCCCTCATCCTTTTTCCCTAAATGGTGGGGCCCCTTTAAAGTAATTCTTGTAACCCCCACAGCTGCCAAGCTTGCAGGATTTCGTCATTGGATTCACCTGTCCCACCTTAAACGTTTTACCCTTTCAGCTTAAGACACTCCCTCGTATATGGTAACTCAAACATGGGCCTGCTCCCTTAAGTTCCAGAGGGCACCAAGATCAGCCACTCATTCTCCAGTTTCAGAGAAATAAAAGTCTCATCACTGTACACAACTCTGCTGTGCCAAAAATTCCATATACTCTCCCTCTTCCCTTCTATCTGCTTTACCAGCTTCTGCATATCTCCAATGTCTTGCTTAAATTTCCAGTTAACCACTCAGCTGTTATTACAGGGACCATCAATAAACATAGAGCCGGAGGTACAAGGACAATCAAAGGCCCAGGTAAGAAACAATAACGAGTTTGGGGACATTCAGAGCCCCAAACTCCAAAAACTCACAAAACAGACTTTAACATAGCAGGTTTTTCACTGTCTGCAGCAGTGTCTCCTGGATGTTAAGGTAATACGTTGATGCTAAAGGAAAACAAGTGCCATAAGATTTGCTTCAGGTAAAACATTAAGAGGTTTAATAATTCCTTTTTCCAAAAATTCCCCCTCTTTTCCTCCCTCCTCCCATCTGTCTTCCATTCCAACACTATACCATCATAATCTTCTAACATGTATAAAATTTATTTCTTTTCAAACGTTTTTTTCATAAGCTCCAGGGAATATGTATCATTTAATTCTTCCCTATCATTCCTGGTCTCAGGAACCCTTGGGAAAGTCCCTCCTACACCCCCCCCAAACCCTCTATCTTTCATCTTTTGACTCTCCTCCCTTAATCATTGGGATCTAAAATTTTTTCCGGATATAATTTTCTGCCTTTATAGCATCTTGTGAGGTCCAATCTGCCAGCCAGCCAGTTCCATAGAGCCCAGAAAAAACACAAAAGTAATCAGCCACCCCAGGATGTGGTCAAGCATCTCAACGCTCCATTGCCCACAAAATCAGCAGGAAGCAGTCACGAGAGATGATGCCCCATTCCCAGTCATTAAAGACCCCCAAATCCCCAAATTTTTATGATAAAAGGGTTGAATGTAATTATTTCAGTTACATAAGGCTGATACTTCCAGGTTCTAGGGGTCCTGCAGGTGCAGACAAGCCCTGAGGCAGAAGGGCCTAATGACCCCTGGGGATGTTAAAGGGCCCCACATGATCCACATATGACTCAGATAAGCCCTTACACACATGCGTGAGCCCTGTCATCTGTGTATGATATAGCCATGTCAACCCCCTGTGCACATGCGCTAGGCAGCTTTTAAAAGGTGGAAGTGCCATCTTCCTCCTTTTCTCTGCATACTGACTTCCCAGGCCTGTGCATGCCCCCTCTAATAAACTCCTAAGTGGGTTTGTTGTGTGTTCTGTGTTTCCTTCTCACTTGTGCCATGTAATTTCACACCACCCCCTTATTCTCTATATAACAAAGAATCTAAAACTGGATACTGTATCAAGAAAGTAACCTTGCATAGCTTACCATTCTTGAAGTTGGAGAGGGTGGCATCTACAGTTGCGGAACTCTAGTGCGGCCCTGGCAGTAGATTGTATCAGTGGCCAGAGCTCATGCAGAAGAGATTGCTTGGTAAGAAAGTAAACACTAGATCCATGCTTTTGAAACAACCTAGTCTCATCAGAACCAAATGACACTGACCAGACTGGACTCAATTTCACAAAACAATTTAATCCATTCTGGAAGGTACAGTCCTATGTCCTAATTACCATTCACTTCTTAAGAATTTCCCCTATTTACTGCATGCTGGGGACCAAGCTTTAGCACATGGACCTTTGGATAGCACACACAAATCATTTTCAAGTTGTGGCAATAGCCACTGTAACAACTGTGAGATAGTAATAATATTGTGGTTTGGGTTTGATTTAGTTGATGGTAAGTATTTTTTCATTTGCTTATTAGTTGCTTGGCTTCTTTGGAGAAATGTCTTTTAATTGTCCCCCCGACCCCATTTTTTACTGCCAAGATTTTCTTCAAAGTAATCAAAATACTTAATATTTTATTTATTGTTTGAAAATTTCATACAAGTATACAATGTATTTTGATTATATTAGCCTCCTACCACTACCTCAATTTCTCCTTGATCTACCCACCTCTCAACTTCATGTCCTATATTTTATAACTTACTGAATCAAATTTATATTGATCATATATCCATGACAATCAGGCTATTTATTGGAGCATGGTCAGCCTACCAAAGGCTTTACACTTAAAATCGACTCTTCCCACACCTAGAAGTGATCAGATGTCAATAGCTTCTTATTCAGGTGTGGTGGCTCATGACCCCTTCCCCACTCCATGTTGGAATGTTGACTAGTTTGATCTTGTTCAGTTCTTGTGTAGAGTCACTGCTGCTGTGATTTCATCCATAGGGTAGTCTTGCTGTTTCCAGAAGACACAATTTAACCCTGGTCTTCCAGACCTCGACTCTTCCAATCTTTCTGTGCCCTCTTCCATGATGGTCCCTAGTCTTGGGGGACGGGGAAGAGGTGTAATGCAAATGTTCCATTTAGGGGTGAGCACTATATAGACACCCATTTCCTACACTTTGACCAACTATGAATTTATGCATCAATCACTGCTCACTGCCCAAAGAAACTTTCCTGATGAAATTTGAGAACTGAACTAATCTATGGGTTTAGAGATGTGAATTCAGAGGGCAGTTTGATACTAGGTCGATTTAACAAAATAATAGTAGTAGGTTTATCCCTGGGGCATATGAGCTCCATAGTCATGGGTTCTTGTCTAGATTTACAATACCAGCCATGTATTTCCTGTGGAGAAAGTCTTACAAATCTCTTTCCATATTTCAACTGGATCATTTTTTTTTCTACTGAATTGTAGACATTTTGTGATGGTTAGAAAGAAAATGGCCCCAAAGAGAGTGGCACTCTTTGGAGGTATGACTTTGTTGAAGAGGAAATGGCCTTGTTGAGAGGGAGTTATGTTACTGTGAGGGTTGCCTTTGAGGTTCTATATATGCTCAAATCATGCCCATTGTGGCAGACTACTTCCTGTTGCCTGCAAGTCAAGATGTAGGACACTTGGCTACTTCTCCAGCACCATGTCTGCTTGCAGGTCACCATGCTGCACCATGATAATAATGGACTAAACCTCTGAAGTTTAAGTGAGCCACCACAATTGAATATTTCCTTTATAAGAGTTACATGATTATGATGTCTCTTCACAGCAATTGAAACCCTAACTAAGACATATTCCTTAACTATTTGGAATCAACTAGTTGGTTTGAAAATATTTTCTCCCATAATGCATGTCAGTCTTGATTGTTCTATTGACAGTTTAAATTTTTCTAACTACTCATCTACCTTAAGATAAAAAAAATGTAGCCCAAAGTAGTCAATTACCCTCCAACTGGAAAACATTAAAAAGGACTTGTACAAGAATGTTCACAGTATCTCTTTTTTAAAAAGATGACAACTGGAAATAGTCCAGGTGGCCTTATGGGAAAACTGATAAACTATGGTATTTAGCATTCCTACTGAGAACACTTAAGAGATGCTGCAAAACTTCACCAGCATCTGGCAGCATTCATCTTCCATGTTAAACAGTCTCTAAACTTATAGTAGTAACTTATGCTCTCTAATATGCATTTCCATAACTTATTATGGTAAGGATAATTTTCAAATATTTACTGACCCATTATAGATCTCTTTAAAATAAAGTTTATGTAAGTAGAAATTTTAATAAATTGTTCAGTTGTGTTTTTTATATATTCTATATACTTGACTTTTAGCTTACGTATGCTTTGTATATATTTTCTTCTATTTTGTGGGTTGACTCTTCTTTCCCCTTTTTCTTTGTTATTTTTGAGGTTTTTATTTTTTGTTTTCTCTTATTTGTTTTTCAGACAGGGTCTCACAAGGTAACCCTGACTGTTCTGGTGCTTCCTAAGTAGATCATGTTGATCTCAAACTCAAAGAGATTGTTCTGCCTCTGTCTTGTGAGTGCTAGAAATAAAGGCATATACCACCATGCTTGCCTTCATTTTTTTAAATGTAGTTTTTGAAGAGTAAGCATTTTAGTTTAATTTTTATAAGGTTGTTTTTTTAATATGTATTAGAATATATATATGTATATATAGAGAGAGAGAGACACATACATA